CCGAGGGTGTTGTCGGACTTGGACTGATCGTCGGTCAAATCATCGTCTTTCCAGAAGACATATTGCTTGTTGGGGTCACGATACATACGTTTGGGTAATCCCTCCTGGTAGTCCTCAATGGCAATCTCGTGCACTTCAGGTTCCAGATCAAATGAGATCCTGCGATCATCAGAAGACTTCTTTGCACTGGCTATCCTCGGTGAGGTATAATCCATAGAATCTTCATTGTCGCTATCAAAGAAGGAATCAACGGTAATGGGAGTCGCTTTCTTCTTTGGTGTCTTCTTGCTGGTTCTTTCTGAAGATGCTGAGGGCGATTGATCTGCATGTAGGAATTTACACTTGCTTCCGAACGTGCAGGTACCCTTTTGCCAATTCCAACATATCTTCTTCTTGGGTCCAGCTGAAGATGAACTTCCTCTACCTTTCCCTCTTGATGAATCTCGACTTCCGCTTCTGCCTTTCTTACCTTTCATCTTGGCATCATAGACCTTTTGAGAATGACTGTAAAGACATTTGTCACCTTTGTTGCATCCTCCTTTATTGAAGAAGTAGTTACAGAAAATCTTCTTCTTGCCAACGGGTGAAGATGATCTTCCCTTCCCACCTTTGCCTTTCTTGTTGTTCTTGTCGGCATGAGATTTCGGAGAAGGTGTTGGAAGTACTGATGCAGCTTCACTCTTCGCTTTCGCCTTAGGCCGTTTGGGAGGATCACCTGTAGACGATGCAGCTGCTTCATTCTCCTTCTTGGTCTTGACGGGAGCAGCAGGTTTGTCAGCATCTTCCAGGGCAGGTGTCGTCTTGGTAGAGGACAATGACAGTTTCACTGCACGTTCTCTATCCTTCAACAGTCGTTCTTGCTTTCCTCTTGCTATGTATCCTTTGATCATACCAGTTAGGTAAACATAGGTCTTTTCCGGATGCCCTTCATCAAAGGTTTTGTATCGGTTGATATCAAAGGCCATAAGCTTTGAATGTTCAATCTTCCGGAACAATGTGTCACGCAGGGAATTGTTGGAAGGCAGATCATCATGTTTCATATTGTATACGATGTCAAGCCACTTGTTGTAGAAGGCCTCAAGTTGGTCATCTCCATAGTAGTTGAACATATACAAATGATGGGCATTGTAGAGAACTTCAGTGTGGTCAGGTGACTTGAAGCTAATCAGTATCATTGCGAATAGTTCTCGTCCCTTGATGAAGTCCCCACTTCTCCCATACAATTGGTTCTTCATGGACATGTCATACTTCACTTGCATGGACTTGTCCCCAGCATTGTCAATGACTTTCCTCAAGGCATTGGAGAGCTTGGCATCAATGGATTGGAATCTCACGTCGGGTGCTTTGGCCAGAGTTTCCAAGTCAGGTTGATCTGCAAGACACGGAGCTAGCCATGCTTTCCAATCTTCATAGTTTCGATCTCCACTTGCAACACAAACTTCATGAACGACACTTCCCTTCCAGGATTAAAGTTCAGTGGTCTTAGGCCAGGGTTGGAGGCTGATCTTTTCGGCTTCTCTTAGAGATACGGATGACTTGGATCTATCCCTTTCAAGGTTCTCCAACTCCTTGACATTGGTGTTATACTCGTTCCTGAGCTTTTCGAAGGCTTCAGCTTCTGCTCGGTATTCCTGCTCTTCATCATTGGCACGATCTTCAGCTTGAGAGAAATTGTTCTTGTAATAATCTTTCCGATCTTCCATCTTCTTCAATTCATCTTGAAGATTTCGAACTTCATTGTTCTTCTCTTGCTTCATCTCGTCCAACTCTGCTTTCAGTTTGGCACACTTCTCTTCACATTCATTCCGGGGCATAGCATTACTGGGGTACCCATGTAACGTAGTCGGTCTATTCAATGATGAAGAAGAATGAGCTTGGTTTTCCAACTTCAGGGCAGCAATGGTGCTCGACATCTCTTCTACTTCAGCGAAACGCTCATTGGCCAATTGATGCATCTCAGTCAAGTGGCTTTCAGGAATGGAGTAGTCAGTCGCACCTTTGATCACGAGTCTTCTGTCGTTCAACATCTTGATGGACTTACCTGCATCCCTGTGAGCACGCTCGAGAGAATCCTTTTGGGCTTCAAGTTCAGTATGAAGGCGAGCAATAGCTGTGTCCCTGTCATTGATTTCATTGTGCAAACTGTCGAACAAGTTACTCGTCACATTCGGATTATTGCTCATGTGATCGATCTTGTTCCGAGCATCTTGATATTTCTTACCAGTTTCGTCAAAATTACGCTGGAAGACTTTGAGCAGGTCCTCAGTGTCAATGAGTTCAGTTCTGTTTTGCAAGTACAACTTGTCAACTTCAGCCTTGGATTCCTTCAAGCTGTCACGCTCACGCACGGCTTGCATATACATCTCGTATAGAGGTCCTCCATGCGGTGATCTGCTTGGCGAAGATCTTCTGGCTTGTTGACAGGAAAGTTCATGATACTGATTCTTCGATTCAGTCAGTTGTTGTTGCATTCGATCTAAAAGACTTTGTTCCATGTGTAGTTCAGAACGTAGTCCCATTATCCTCATGTCCCGCATGCCGCCTGATTCAGCTAGAGATTCTTCAGAAACCCTGTTCTCAGAAATCGCTAGTCGAGATTGTAGGTTCTCATTTTGAATCATCTGCAATCGAAGTTGTGATTCTTCCAAAGCTAAGTGATGTTCACATTCTGCATAACGGTCATGTTCAGATCTTATGTTACTACGGAACTCCTTCATGATCTCGTCCCTCTTCATGTCAGCGGCATCGAGCTCAGTTTCCAGTCGTCTAACGTTCATGGCCATGGCGTGCTTCATTGTCTGGTTTTGATTGGCAACCTCGAGCATCTCGATCTGTAAAGCACATGTTTGGTCATTAGCGTAGCCGACCGCTAGAGCTTCTTGCTTGGCATTCATCTCTGCGTTTTCCAGTTCCAGTCTGAGTTGATTGATGTGAGCATTCGCATCAGCGCCCACATGTACCATGATTGCGCTCGCTTGTCCCATTTGTTCATCGAATTCCGAACGTAGTCGTGAATATTTGAATTCCAAATGAGATGCAGCTTCATTCGACATAGTCTGATACCTTTCCAACTCTTCGATCCTGTAGGTCGCGCCTTCATCTTCTTGTTGCGCAGCCTGTAACTCGAAGTTCAGCATCTGGAGTTGTTCGGTCATCGACATCATCTCTTGATGAGTGGTGCTTTCTAGGAAATTAAATTGTTGATAGGCATATGCTGTCGTCTCACTCAATCTTGCCTGAAGTACGGATTCTTCTTCAGTGGCCCTTTCCAGTGATGTTTTGTACTCAGCTAATTCACTCTGATAGGCAGTTAAGATGTCGCTACCACTTGACGGGGCGTTCACTTGCTGATAAGATCCTGTCCCTGATGGTGTAGCGTCCTGAATCGGTGAAGGCGGATTCGACGACGTAGTCTTTGCCTTAGTCCTTGGAGTCATCGGAGGCGACAATTGTCGTGCAGATGATCTTCTCTTTCCAGGTGTGCTGTCCCTATCTTCAATTGCTTGCATTGTCGAAATTTGTCTCCCTCTAGGAGCAACCAGAGATCGTCTGGGTTGGCTCGTTCTCAGTTCTGAGGCATCGCTTCCACCAGTGTCGATACTCTGTGAAGAATTTGACTGCGTGCCGGCAGCTGGTGCAACGGCATGTCCAGAGAAAGAAAATGCATTATCGCTGCTATCCTGTTCAGTCATCTGTAAGGCCCGCGGCTACCCGCTCGTAGGCTCCGTAGGAGTCCTACGGCTGATAACCTGCGAATCGGGGATTGCCTGTCCGATTATGTCCTGGTAGTGAGTGTTGAAGTGATTGCTCCAGTGATGACGTTACACGGGCATCAGCTTCCGCATTGCTGTTCTTTACTCCAGTGCTGCAGTGGGTCTTGAGCCAAAGAGGCCAGTTTGAAGTGCCCCTTTGGTACTGGATCCTAGAGTGTCTAATTGTGATAATATACAATGGTCCGTAGCCTACACTCTATTCGCACAGATAGATAGGTAGATAGATAGATACAGGTAGATAGGTATATAAATTGGAAGGAGGTGATGGAGAGAATCCTTCAGCCCCAAGCCTCCCTGGGGCAGCCAACCCGTGCTCCCGTGCAACTAGCATAGATAATGGGAGCGATAGACAAGATCATAGATGGAATATAGATAGAGTATGCGCCTTGCTCGTGTGACAGGATTGGCGTGGTGAATGTGTTTGGGTCAAAACAGGTGCAGGTTTTTATGCTACGCGCGCGCGGGTCAAATAGGTCCCAATCTTCCCTGCCACGCCCCCCCAAGCTGAAGCATGGATGAAGCAATTGTGAACAAAGAAGCGTAAGAGCAAGATCATTGTTCCTTCAGGGTGGAACATGAAATTGTCACTGACTCAAAACTGTAGGAAGTGGTGGGCTAATAGAAAATTGGATACGTATAGGGAAGACAATTCTACCTGTGATGTGGGTTCCGATGCATAAGAAAACGGAAAGAAAAGAACGGTGACAGAGTGAAAGAGATGAACAAGAAATATAGGGATGAACGTAAGAGTGAAGTGAGTAAATGCACGAAGGAATTTCATAGGAAGATGACGGTTTGATCTGTGGATGTAAGGTGAGAAAATGCAAAAGGATAAGACATGTCAAGAGCAAGAACCATCTGTTCGGGTGGGTGGAGAAGGTCAGATTGAGGGGGCTGGTCAGGTGAGAGGGCAATATAGAGCATATCCTTTATTAGTGTATGGGAAAATGTTTTTTTTTTTCGCGGTTTTGTGCCCAACGTAGGGTTTTTTTGTGCGAAAACCGCGCTGCGCCACATAGTACGTGTTTTTCCCTGCCACGGGGGGGGTGCTCACTACTCATAAATCAAGACTTAGCATGACAAGAAAAGCTCGGCAACAAATTGTCCAGAAACAAAAAATCATAACGAAATCCAAATTGCAAGATATTCCAAAACATCGCCAAACATCACCTAAGCAATCCAAAAGGCCAATTATGGCCAATTTCCAACTTTTGCAAGTTGGTCGGCCTTGGAAGCGACCGTGCCGCGGGAACAGCAGATCAAGGCACCGAAGAGCTCGTTGAGACTGAGGCTTTGCTCAAAGGTGCCTCACAGGACAGGACGGACAGGATGCTTGGGGATTCAAATAGGACGTGCCTCGATGTGTCGAGTGCTGCTTTTTGGAGCGGCCAGGTCAGATGTAGAACAAGAATCAAGAGATATCAAGAGTTTAGTCATGTATTTGCCCTTGGTTCAAGGCTTTCAGAGCAACGAGAAACAAATTAGTGTGTTCACAGATTTTTAAACCTCATCTGGTTTGGACTGCCTGAAAAATCACGTGCATCATAAAGGGGCGCGGTAGTTCTCCCTCCCTGTGCTCTCACTCGGTTGGGCCAATCTAGCAAGGACTGAGGGTGTGCACCCTGACTAATTTTGGCAGCAAATCATTCTACTAGCTGGCCCTGTGTTCTCAACTAGAACTTCTAGAACCACCACAATCATATCAATATGTATCAATTGTTGTCTAACAGTCTAACACGCTGTGCCTTCTGCAGACTGCTTGGGTTGCGTCATCGCAACGTTGGGATCGGCCGGCTTGATGCCAAGAAGGCCACCCATCTCAGCACGGCTCAGTAATGCCAGCTGCAATAATAAATCATGATAACCGTGATAAATCATGCAAGTGATACTTCGATCAGTTTGGCATGCTTGGCTATGCTTGGCTTAGTTCCCATCGTAAAAGTTTGGTTCCCTTTCAGTGGAACAGCCTATGTCTTGCCAGTGCAAAAGCACGCGTCAAGAGTCAAGCCCGTAGTCGCCATAGCTGCCATAGCTGTTTCGCTGAGCTTTTGACCATCTTCTGCACAGCTGTTTGCCGCACTGCTGTCTTTGCACCCGGGTACTTGGTTCGCTTGGTTGGCTCACGGCTTGATCAGGCATTGTGACCAAGTCTTACATCGGAAATTCAATTTACTATTATAGTTACATCTATTTGTATACACTTAATGTTTGCAAGTGACTAAGTCATACTAAAATACTAAGTATTCAATGAGCTGAAGGTTTTAGATGTTTTTGTATATCACTTCAGTGGACTCGTTGTGGACTCAGTGGGCTTCTGCCCGTGGTAGGTGCTGTGCCGTTTTTGTGCCCAAGCCCACGGCATCCACCGGAATATTGGTGAAGTATCTCCACAAATCGGGCGCTTGGGCAGACCAACCTGGAATCAACGCTCTCAAAGATGATCAAATCTGTCGCAAGGAAGGCTCGGCTCACCGCTTACGCTATCCGACTCATTCAGAAGGCCTAGGGCCTAGATGCAGTCCAAAGGCCACAATTAGAGTAATAGGATTAATAGGATCCAGTCCAAGGACCACACCAGGTAGAGTAGATGTCAAAAACAGCAATTACTGCGGGACTCTCCAAACAAAACCTATCAACAGCGACCGAAACTGCGTTCAATCCTTCCCATTCGAACAAACGCACACCCACCTGGTGCATGTCGTTGTATTGCTGAAATAACTTCCTTAAGAGCCGTCGAAGAACAAACAACTGCACAAAAGGACCCATGAAGGATACTTTATGCAACTATATGATATGAAAGGAATCAGCTGTTCATATAGGGAATGTTACGGGAATGTTGGAAAATGTTTGGTTCGGAGACCTGCTGTGGAACTTTCTGGGGGCTCCGGCCGTGCTTTGGACATTCAAAGGCTCCATGCCATTCCACTTGCGCATCTGGAGTCGAGGATCGAGGATGGTGGCATTCAAAATCATTCAAACACCCCTTTCATCCCCTTTCCCACTCAAAATCAGGCACAAAATGACACAAGGGTTGCGACAAACGACTCTCACCAAATTCCCGCAACAAAGCCAAGTCTTCAATCATTTGGTGCACAAACAACGCGTCGCAAAATATAAGAAGCTGACCGAGCCGTCCTCTGCCTGCAACTATGTGCAAAGGATGGGGGACCATTTAAAATTTGACAAAATGGCATGATGCCTGGGCTATGCGGCAGGAGTGCGATCGCACAGGGGTCTAGAGTGCTGAAACAAAAACTTTCACATACGGGCCACAAAAAAGGTACGCAAACATAGGCAAGTTGTAAAAAACCATACTTGGAAGCTACCCGGACATGACATGAGTTCCCTTCTTCTCCACATTTTTCATCATTTTTCCTGAGTCGCAAAAATGGAAACCATGATTAGTGGCCCTTCCCATGAATAGAGCAATGGTCTGGAATTTGGGCTAAAAGTGATGGTCTTGCTTGGTGGTCAATCATGGGAGCAACTTTCGCAAGATTTTTTTGGAGGATAATTTCCAAGAACTCAGCTCTGAAGGAAGTGGGACGGACTGAGAAAGGGAAGGGGGGCATCACCGCTGTTGAGTTATATGTGGTTGTTGTGATTGCTTCATGTGGTTGGTAATGCAGTGATACTTGGGCATTGTTGATGTTTGGCTGCATAGGTTGCGCGTCGAGAAAGTTAAGTACTTTGCAGGACGGCTGCCGTGGTGCCAGCTTTCTCTCGCAATGCGAAGTGAAGACCTGTAAGCCCATACTGCCATATTGCAACCACGGACAGGATCTGTGTCGGCTGCGGTGAGTCGGGCAGCGCGGGGTGCGCGTCAGATGCGGCTCGGAGTGCGTGGAAGGCGCAAAGTAAGTATCGTTCCGGACAGCAGTACATCGCAAAGTCTCTGTTGGACGCAGCCTGGAACTAACTTTGCAAACTAAGGAACTAAGGTTTGGTTAGTTTGGTTAGTTTGGTTTGGTCTACAAAGTGGTAGTCCGTGTCGGCGGCAGTGCTCCTTACCCCATGGTGCCAGACAGGGTCTGTGTCACCCATTTGGGGTTAGCCAAAAAAAAAACGCGACCTCCTAATCGATGTTAAAGCGTGCTGAATCGTGGTTTCTGTTTCCTCTTATCCACTTCCCACACGCGGGCTGCACAAACTGATCAGTGAACTTCTGTCCTCTCGTTAGCTCTCATTTCCTTTTGTTTCCTTTCATTTCTGTTTCATCTCATTCCTGGACATCCTGGACCATCCAAAAACAATTTTTGCTGACCTTTTTGGTCAGTGTTCTTTCTTTGCTCAAAACGATTCCGGGCAAAACAACCGAAAAGGGCAAAACGACTCAAAATGCAGTTTTACGCCAAGGGGTTTCGGTGCCAGATACTTGGCATGATGCAATGGCCCAACTAGATCAGATGCAAAACTTTTGGCAAACGGGATCATGTGAGGCAAACCCAGTAAACCCATGCTCCTAGAGCTATCAACAGGTATCATTGAGCCATTTTGCAAACTAGATGTCAACACGCCAAGGCAGATAATTTTTGTCATAGCATGCGTTTTTGGGGAACAAACTGTACCGCAAAAAGGGCGCAAAACCCCATCCAAAAAGGTGCAAACACCGTCAAAAAAACGCAAATCAGGATTTCTGCCTTGACGTGTTTTTGTGGCACGGTGCTGTTGTGCCACTTTCGGCTCCATAATGGTCAGAAAACATAATTCTGGATTCCAAGAGGTTTGGGAAACCAACCATTTGACTTGCAGGCACATCGAAAGAATGATTTGTTTGATTAACATGCTGCAATTGGAAAAGTTCCAGCGATTAGATTTACAGGTGCATTTTTTAGGAAAGACGAGGCATAAATTTCCCAAAACGAGGCAGAAAAAATGCAAATGCGTTATGGGTGTGAAATAGTTTTAGGTTTTTTTTTTGGAGCAGGTTTGGGATTTTTTTTTGGATTTCTTGGCTGGTACCATTTGCCTAGTGTTTGCAACGGTTTGGAACTTGAATTTGTCATTTTGCATGGTATTTGCCACATTTGGGCATGTTCACCTTCCATTTTGCATGGGATTTCCTACATGTGGGCATGTTCACCTTCCATTTTGTATGGTATGTGCCACATTTTGGCATGTTCACCTTCCATTTTGCTTGGGTAGGGTATGTGCCACATTTTGGCATGTTCACCTTCCATTTTGCATGGGATTTCCTACATGTGGGCATGTTCACCTTCCATTTTGTATGGTATTTGCCACATTTTGGCATGTTCACCTTCCATTTTGCATGGGATGTTCTACATGTGGCATGTTCACCCAAATATTTACAGATGCGGAAGCTTGGGATTAGATAAAAAGCGGGTGGGGGGGGATTGAGGGAGGGCGCTAGCTATCTATCCAGCTAGCTAGCTATCTAGCTATCTAGCTAACTATCTATCTAGCAAGCTAGCTATCTATCTAGCAAGTATCTATCTATCTATCTATCTACCTATCTAGCTAGCTATCTTGCTAGCTATCTATCTACCTATCTAGCTATCAAGCTAACTATCTATCTAGCTATCTAGCTATCTAGCTAACTATCTACCTATCTATTTCGCTATCTGTCTATCTATCTATCTAGCTACCTATCTAGCTACCTCTTTATCTATCTAATTCTATCTAGGTATCTATCTATCTAGCTATCTATCTAGCCATCTATCTATCTATCTAGCTATCTATCTATCTAGCCATCCAGCTGTCTATCCAGCTATCTAGCTATCGAGCTATCTAGCTAACTATCTATCTAGCTATCTATCTAGCTATCTAGCTATTCTAGTCTATCTATCTAGCTATCTAGCTACTATCTATCTAGCTATCTATCTAGCTCTAGCTCTATCCAGCTATCTAGCTATCGAGCTATCTATCTAACTATCTATCTATCTAGCTAACTATCTACCTATCTATTTAGCTATCTGTCTATCTATCTATCTATCTATCTAGCTATCTATCTAGCTACCTCTTTATCTATTTAATTCTATCTAGGTATCTATCTACCTAGCTATCTATCTAGCCATCTATCTATCTAGCTTTCTATCTAGCCATCTATCTATCGAGGTATCTAGCTATCTATCTCTCTAGCTATCTATCTATCTAGCTCTAGCTATCTATCTAGCTAGCTATCTATCTATCTATCACATGTAATCCTGTCAGCTTTCCAGAGAATGTTAGTTCGCAAAAACCAACTAATGTAACTTGGGTTTAAGTTTAAATATTAAAAAAAAAACGGGAGAGGGGGGACTGCGCCCTCCCCCCAAAGCAGTATGCAAGCACCTCTTCTCACATGTTACGTTGCTAGTTTTCAAGAGAAGGTTGGTCATGTGATACTCAGGGATGCAAATACTGTGCAAAATGCATCTTACATGAAAATCAAGTATTTAAAGCAGGCAAAGCAAAAAAAAAGCAGAGAAGCAAAAAAGCAGAGAAGCAAAGAAACAGGAAACGCACAAAAGCAAAGCAGCAGAAAGGCAAAGAAGAAGGAAAAGCAGAAAAGCAGAGAAGCAGGAAAAGCAGGAAAAGCAGAGAAGCAAAGAAACAGGAAAAACAGAAAAGCAAAAAAGCAGAAAAGCAGAGAAGCAGAGAAGCAGGAGAAGCAGAAAAGCAAAAAAGCAGAAAAGGCGAGAAGCAGGAGAAGCAGAAAAGCAAAAAAGCAGAAAAGCAGAGAAGCAGGAAAAGCAGGAAAAGCAGGAAAGCAGAGAAGCAGGAAAAGCAGGAAAAGCAGGAAAAGCAGAGAAGCAGGAATCCAAAAATAATTCCTAAACCTGATCAAAAAAAAATCCTAAAATAATTAGCCCTCCAAAAAATGCAAATGCGTTATGACAACGACCCAAAAGGCAAAAGGTACACAGTTTATTGTTGTTTGGGTCCCTGGTTTCTTTTAATTTTCTGGTTGTCTGACACAGTCTTTGCCCTTACCACGAGCCTGTGCTTTGGGTGGCTCTGCCATGAAGGGGATCATCCTTGGTCGAAAGGATTGTAAACCATCAAAACCAAAAGCGAATATCCAACACATATGTATGTATGTAGGATATATATATATATATATAATGTGAACGGACTCGTGTCTCGTTTTGTTCGTGTAAACCTTGGACTGCTAGACCTTGTAGTAGACGTTGATTTTAATCCGAGCAATGTGAGTGTAGCTTGTTATTTTTCCTTGATCGCGGAGCGTGGAGTACACTTGAGCCAGAGCGCCGGACCACGATTGATTGAGTGGACCTGGCTCTGGTACAGTACCATTGATGAGGACTCTACCCTGGTCTAAGCTAAACTCACACCCCCCACGGCCAAGATGTTTGCGAATTGGCCGCAGGAGCAAATGCCAGGGTTCAAAAGTTAGTCCTCAGAACTCCGATCTGTACTGTGTGCATTAATTAAAGTGTCGTTTCCGTAGCCTAGTGCGGGTTCTCAAGCTATGTACAGGCCGCCGGAAGATCATGTACTCCCAGTGGCGGACTCACACACTGGTTTCCAATCGCCTGTTGACTGTACTACGCTGTTCAACTACCGCACCTACGAGATTTCCAATCTCGATTCATATTCAAAATTTAGGCTTTCGCACGGAAGCCATCTTCGTAGCTTCTATGCGTAGGCTCTATCTGAATTAGCCCGGCGCTCATGTCTCTCTCAGAAGTTCCCCGCAATGATGTAGACCAGACGCCATTCACTTCTTCCTTCTTTTCTTGGCCTCTTTCGCGTCTTTGCTACCCGATGCAGTGACCTCTTCCGTTCCCGGGGTGTCGGCAATGGCCCTGATGTAGTTTCGCACTCTGTCTCGTTCTGAAGGGTCCAGCGTCCTGATGCTCGTCTCCATCTGTGCGTCGCTTTGTGTGACGGCCTTCAGTTTACTCTCCCACGATCTTTGAAGTGCTTGAGGAAGTCGTAGGCCAACTTTGTTGAGGGTCACGAGGACAGTAAAAGTGCGTGCTCGCTCCGTCACGGCACATACCAGCTCCACGGGGTCGAGGTGCACATGATCTTCTCGTCTTGGCGGGTTTACCCTGAAATAATCATAAGATCGTGCTGCAAATGTCCCTGCGATGATGTTGCGGACAAAGTCAGTAGCTTCACGCCGAACTTCAATCTTTCTCTCGTCGTCCACGCCGACAGCGTCGATGACCTTGGTGTTGATGAGTTGCGGTGTCACCCCAGTCTGCACAAGGTATTTCATGATCCTGCACAAAGTCCTTATGCCGTTAACCCCCTTCAGGTATATCTCAAGATCCCTCCCGCCGATCTTGCCGTCTTTGGCGTGGTTCTGGAAAGACGCCTTGAGCTCATCCTCGGTAGGTTCTCTGCGATCACCTCCTGCATCTTCGCCGACGTATGGAATATATCCGTCAAATTCAGGAAGTAGCTTGACGTTCTTGACATGGGTATAATACGCCTGTGCTGATGCCAAAGAGGTCCACGCGTGATACAGTCTGTACCGGTCCTTCAGGTAACTAAGGATCATGATGTCAATGGCTCTCGCAGTGCTGTCGATCGCATCTTCATTTTGAGCGATGTCGATGCAGTGGATGATTGATCCTTGGACTGTTCTCGCCGTCCAGAGAGGTAACTTGATCTGGGGTTCCCTTTGTTCCTCATCTTGTTCCTGTTCCTGGACATTGCGTTCATCTTCTTCCTCTTGCTGTTCTTTCGTTTTGCCACCAAAGACCGCCTGTGGATCTGGCGTAGTGCGAGTTCTTCTACTTCCCAATTGATGGTTCGCTCGTCCTTGATGCTGACATGTCCACGTCATCGTCGGTCTTTTCCTCGGCCATTCTCTTGGTTTCTCTGACCAACCGATCGATCTCATCCTTTTCCATCTCCACATCCCCATCAACTTCTTCGGCGTCGTCATTGCTCTCTTGCCTCTCTCGTTCAGGCATTCCGGGGGCTGTGCTTTCATCTTGTGTAGCAGACTTCTCCCCCAAGCTGATGAGCGATCCATGACATCGAATACAGATGGACAGGTTGTTCGGAGTCTCGGAAAGGCATGCCGGGCATATGGTTCGTCCGGCTTCTCGTGGTGTGTAGTTCTCGGCGATGAACGTCACGATTCTGTTTCTTAACTCGTCCCGGTGGTCCAACACTCCATTGGCATTCTCGAGTTTTCCAATGTCCTTGACGAACTCGTCATATTAATGATGTTGTCCTCGGCGTTGATCTCGCTCAGCAACGCTTTGGCGATTCGCATGACAGTTGATGCCGTTGCGATCTCCCTTGGTTCCTGGAATGATCTCACCAATTGAAGTTTCCCGGAATCGATTAACAGTCGTTCCCATTCCCAGTTGTTGGCTTGATACCAGGCAGCGATCACCTCGGAAAACGGAATGTTTCCACTAACCACCAATTGTCGTGATGCGTTGACCATGACTCCCAAGCTCATGAGTCGATGAACGCTGAAAGCCAAGACCGCTGGATCTCCAATACAGGTTATTTAAGCCATATGCCTTAAATAGATAATATTGACTTGTTTACAACATTGCTTAAATTTAACTTTGAATATAGCTTATTTAAGCAATGTACTTTTGGCACTTTTAAGAATGAATATATAGCTGCAAGGATCATACAGCTGCTGTGTAGGAGATGCTTGGATGAAGTGCAATCATCATGGTTATCATTGTAGGATTTGGCTCAAATGCTACCAATTTTTTCTGCCTACTTGAAGGCATGTCTCGCAGAAGCAACGATGCTTCACCAGAAGGTTTGAGAAACATTTTGAAGATTCATTTGCCCAGACCTCCATCCATAGGCTTCTTCAGTATGACTACAGAGCAGCAGATCAATGAGCAAGAGGAGTTGTTGAAGGAAATGATTCTGATCAGCGGTCGCCCCACTGCAAGTTGGATATCTTCTGCCTGCAAACTTGTGTGGCAAAAGTGCGACAGTGAGCTGCTGAGCAAATTTTCCAAATGCATGGCAACTTGCTCCCAATTTTGCTTTTCCAAAGCACTGCAAGCTACCTCTGGTGCCAAGTTGTCTCCTGCAGTGAAAAGACTTGTGAAAGTTATCAACCAAAGTTCCTCGAGACCTTTGGCCTGTGGTGACAAATTGGTTCGAAAGCTGAAGAGGGTGCCTTGGATGAGACATACTTTTTTCTTTGGTGTGCTTTTGTTAAAGTCTTTTTGGAAAGCATTTGGCTGGAGTGTTTGCTGCCTCAGGAACGATCTGATGCATCTGACAAAGCTGCTGGTTCTCCTGCTAAGAAGATGCCAACCCAGAGCAGCTCCAGTACCATGCCGGCAGTGGCAGATGTACAGTCACTCTATGCTTTGGCAGGTGTCTCCATTGGCAAAACTTCTGCTAGTTCCAAAACTGCCAATGCCACTGCTTCCTCTGTGGATGGCGTTCTCATTTCTTCTGAGGAGGAAAAGGAAGATAGCACTGTGAAGCTTCCAACCATGGACCAACCTGCTGGCAAAGCATGGTTTGATGCCAAGAGAGGCTGCGTGGTTAGAGGCATTCCTGGAGAAGCTGGTGCTGTAGAAGAGGCCACTATGTCACCTGGTGACTCTGGCTTTCTTGTGGCAACTTTTCCTGGTGAGAGTGGCTTTGAAACCGGGATTCCGAATTCTTTGATCAGTTTGGCTAAAAGGTTCCCCTTCAGCCAGCAAGGCCAAAGGCAAAGCCAAGGCCAAAGCTAAAGGCAAAGCTGTTGCCAAAGGCAAAGCTAAATCCCATCCCAAGGGCAAAGCAAAAGCTAAGCCCAAGGGGAAAGCAAAGGCAAAAGCTGTTGCTGTGGGTAACACTGATCATGATTCTTTGTCTTTTGAGCGGTATTATTACAAATCCTCAGGTAAATGTGGCATCAGGCAGAAGAAGCCTGTGAGAACCCAGTTGTTTGAATTCGGAGATTTCTCTGTGCTGAAATGAAAGAAGATCTGTATGAAATTGCAGATCAGGCCATTACCCCTTTGTTGGCCAAGGATTTGGCCATAGCAGATGCTAAGTCTTGGTGCCTTGAAAGGCTTGAATCTCTCAAGCAATCTTAGGCTCCTTTTGTAGATTGCTTTCGGCCAGTTTTTGCCATTTGAAAAAAATACTTGTTGGGTGTGTGTGGGTGCAACTTTCTCCTGTGGAGGAGATTAATTAGTTCTTCTCAAACCTATAATTATATGGTCTCCTGTGCAGGAGGTAAAATGTTGTCTTTTTAGTTAGGGCTGCAGCAGCCTTGATCCCAGGAAACTTCTATTTCCTCCTGTGGTGGAGATTGCATGCCAACTGCGATCCATCAGTCTGGACCTCATTTTTGTCAGGTTTTGGGAGTGTGGTCAAAGTTTTAAGGTAAAACTCCTGTGTAGGATTGTTGTTGGTACACAAACACTTCTAAGGTAAATCTCCCGTGTAGGATTGTTGTTGGTACACAAACACTCCTGTGCAGGAGGGATTTAGGTTATGTATTTGGCAATGTGTGTCAAAATGTTATAGTTTCATGTGTGCATGTCCACTGCAGCTGTCAAGCAAATCTGTTTTTGTTTCACCAAGCTTCGCCGCCATGGGAGCAAACCAGAGCAGAACAGATACTCATGTGAGCCAGGAGGATTTTGCAGATGGGGTTGACTTAGCATTAGCTCTAGCTATGTCATTGGAAGCTGTTCCAGGAATTCCTGCTGCTCCTCCTGTTGCACCTGCTGCTCCAGATGCAGCTGCTGCAGCAGAAGGTTCTGATGGCCAGTATCTTCGAATGTGCCGGGTTTGCAACACAGTCTCCTACCTGACGCAGGGAGTTTGCTTGAACCCAGGATGCAGACTGAGTTACCTGCAAGATACACCACAGAATGTTGGTGCTCGTTTGGAATCCCGGGGGAATGAAAATTCCCAGGAAACAGCAACAGTTGACCAACTTGAAGGAGCCCGTAAAAGGAGGCAGGGAAGCAGCTGGTATGACAAGCAGGGCAATCCAAAGAGATCCAAGGGTGCGAAGCAAAGACAATGGGTTCAGTCCTTTGCAGAGGGAAAACATCCTCGGACAGGAGTGGACACCTGGACACCTATTCAGCGACAAGGGAAATGGTGGATTTGGGGGAAACCCACTGGAAAGCCTTTGGTACCTATGAGGAAGCTTTAGCTGCCAAGAAGGTATCTATGCCTCCAGGTCTCCAGCCCCTGGTTCTTCACTTGATTTCCAAGTAGTACGCCTCGACCTTTGAACTTTCTCCCAGGGCTCCCCTTTGGTAACTGGTAGTTCTTCTCAACACAAATGCCGTGAACTCGTGCCATGTGGACTTCTTTACCTTCTCGTTTGGCTTCTGCCACAACGTCGTCATATTCACGAACTACCGAGAAATCATAAACTCCCTGCTTGTGCTGTCCCAACCACTCGTTCCTCATAGAAGCCTTGGCATCCGGGTCTTCCATCATCTCTTTACGGCCAACTGGCCTCGAGACCATCGCGTTGCAACAACTTTCCAAACCTCATCTCACTTTGACTGAACTTCTCGCGATGTCCAGGATCTTGATGAACACGAGGCATACATGGAATTGAACTCACGAAGTGGTCGACCTTGGACTTGCCGTCGGAGTCTTTTGGGGTAGAGGCCGTTGGTGCAGCTTTAGCAGGCGTCACGATCTTCCCAGTACTGAAGTCATAATGAACATCTTCCCAATGAGCTTTCGGTCCATTGCCAACTTCATGCTCGGACCCATCCCATTCATTCAGGAATTCTTGGCCATCATCATCACTCGGGATGTTTGTACTATAGTCTCACTGGGTGCTGTAGGAGAGACAGTGTTGTACTTCTTAATTAAATAATAGTAGATGAGATCATTAGCATCACGGGTCGCTGACACGCCTACCCGATCGCTATGATCCCTGACACATGGTTCAACTTCCTCGGTTCACGGGTCGCAGGTATGCCTACCCATTCACCTTGGAGTATCCCCACGCCAGCGGCAGCGTCCTTGCTGCCATCTTTGCCTGGGCTCTCCTTCGAATCCTTACTACTCTTTTTCTTCCTCTTTCGGCTTTCGCCTTTTGGTGAATCTTTGTGTGAACTTGCCTCGGACTTCTTCTTCTTCTCGGCGGCCTCGGCTTTGGCCTTCTTTTCTTTCTCTTTCTTCAACTTGATCTCCTTGAGCTTTTCAGCCTCAGCTTCCAGCTTGCCTCGACGAATGATGACATCCCTCTCCTTGGCGGACAAAGCTCTCCGTTCTTCTGGACTGTAACTGCTCTTTGGCCTCGGTGATCCTCGTACCTCTTTGCGACCATCAGGACCAACTCGATAGGGTCGTCCTCGTTTGTCGAGCTTGACGTGCTCGCCAATGTCGCTGAGGTAGATGATGCCGTCACCGGGTTTGCCCATGGAGTGATGTTCAGGCCCATCATATGGAGGTTCGCCATCAGGAGGAGGTGGTGGAGGTTCACCATCGACTTCGACCTTATTCTTCTCTTTGTCGAGCTTGATGTTCATTTCATTCATCATCCGGTCGAATTCTTCTTCTTGACGTTCAACTCGATTGGTGATCTTGCTCTTCTTGGGTTGATCATCACCTCCATCTCCGTCATCATCGTCCTCGTCATCGTCATCATCATCTTGTTGGTCTTCAAGGAAATCAGGTGATCCTTCAAGACGATCTTTCACAGCCAACGCTTCCAATGTGGAGTTCACCTTTTCGTAGATGTCTTGGCACGGGAACGTCAATGGCAAATGCACCTCGATCTTCTCAGTGAGGTGTGGATGACGTAACTTGTCAATGATGGTCTTGGCATCGAAAGAGTAGTTCTGCTTCGTCATGTCCGACAATGCCCAAGCCATATATTGCCTTCGCCAATTGATGCCCGGTGCGATTTCATATCCAGCAAAGACACCAGGAATGCCCTTGGGAACAAACTTGTGAGCTTGTTCATTGGCTCTGGCTCCACTTGGTTTGAAGTAAACCAAAGCACCAAATGGGATCTTCTCGCCCTTGAACTCGGCGCCATGGAGTTTGCACCAAGCACTCACATCGCCTTCCCCAGGTTCCACATTGAGCAGATGACATATACACATCGTATGGCAAACTTCCAGAAACATGCTGGGAGTCCAGCCTCGGGTAGGCATGTGGTAGTCGTTGCAATGACGAACTGGTTGTTGCGCTCGGCAAGGGAGTTCGTTGATGGTCTTCCCGGCAGGGCATGGTCAAAGGGAATCTTGAGAGCTTCCATGCCCTTGACAAACTGTCTAGCTTTGTCGGAGTAGGCTTCTCTGATAGTACGCCTTCCCATAAAGTACTTCACCGCCCTCACAACATCTTCAGTGTTCTTAGTTGGAGAGGGGTAGCTCTGAATGATGCCGGTAAACCTGTCGTGACAAGAATCATCCTTGACCGTGTCATAGCCCAATCTTGGTCGTCTTGCGAGTATCCATGAAGTCAAAGGTGATGAGGTTGCCGAACTTGGTGAGTTTTCGACGGAATGCACCTCGATAGGTCTTGTGATGCTTCATCTTGGCTCGTACGCATGAGTTGCAGTACGGGTTCTTGTATCGATGTGTTAGTAGATGTTCCAGAGCGAGCTTCATGCTTCAAGGTACCTCTTTTCGACAATCGCACTCCTCCATCAGGATCGTCCACATCGATGTCATCCTCATCATCTTCTTCTTCATGCGGTCCATTCTCAACACCAATTTCATCTTCATCATGTTGATCAACTTCTGGATCTTCATCAGCTGCTGGAATCCGATCATCGTCGTCGTCCCCATCTTCATTCTGGCCAGGGACTTCATCAACGTGAGCATCCTCCTCATCCGGTCCTTCGTCACGGATAGAAGGTTCATAGCCATCATCATCATCCTGTTCTTCTCCAGCTGCCGCAGGAACTGTCTTTCACTTAGATCTTCTCTTCTTCTTGGTCTTCCTCGGGAGACTCGTTGGCCCGTCGACGTACATACCAACTCCATCATCCGATTCAGACATTTCATCACCACTTTCACCATCAAGGAATATCGTCCTCGATGCAGTGCTGTTGCCCATGAGACCCAACACCTTCATCACCAACCCGGCCTCTCGATCGGGCGACGGCCGATAGTCTTTCGTCCCGAGGTAGACATATGGGATAAGATCGTGAACTTCCATCTTAATCTTATCACCCTCAGAGTTGATCATGTAGGGTTCTCTCCCACTAGGCCAAACAAAGGTATAAGCTTGTTCCATGCATCGCTTCCCCAATGGAAGCACTGATGGAGTGTCCTCCAACACATGCGCCCTGGCAGGCTCATTGAACGTGTCGAATTCCAAGTCCACCATAGTTGAGGTTGATGTGATGCCGTTGGCAGTGTGGAAGTTGACTTTTGAACTCTCGTATGTGTCAATGTCCATCCTATCAACCCTCGTTGATGAAATGAGATCATGACCACTTCCAGAGTCCATGACGAAACGTCTGTCCTTGAGCTCGATTGGCATAGTGATGCACATGATGTTGTCACGACGTCCAAATCTTCCAGGGACGTGAGGAATGACCTCTTCGTAACACATCTCCGCCCGTGGGTTGTCTTCCAAGTATTCATTGTTGTTGATCTTGAGCTTGATACCACTCTTGGGGCCCAGGACGATGTGCACCTCATCTACGTCCGAAAACTCGTTGAGATCGTTCATCAGAATGCCAATAGCACGTGCCCGTGTCATACCCAATCTGGATTGTAGTACCCATTGTTGATCATTTATAATA